AGAGGTACATATGCAAAAAAACCCTGTTTGATGATAAAAACTAGGGGATATCTTTATTCAGCAGTGGTTCTCATTTTTGCACCAAGGAATTCACAAACTTAATCAGTTTATCATAATGAACTCCCCAGAGGTAGTCAACAAGAGCATTATAAGCACAGCAGGTTAAGTTTTCCAACAATAATGATATTATGCTTCTTTCTGCATAAAAAAGAATTTTAGCAGATGTGTGTTTCATGCAAGTTAAGCCCATAAATACACTAAAGCCAGAATGAAAAAAAAAAAAAAAAAAAAAACCGCACAGCCTACCACCCAGTATTCACAAGAGATGGTGCCTGATTTTTACCTTCAAAGCACTGAAAAGGTGAGTACGATTCTAATCTAAGTGAATTTCTTGATAGTTCTTAAAATATGCCTCAAATTTTGTCCCTCCACATTTGGACCTGGATTTCTTTTCTGCTAACCTGGTCTAGTGTGCTTGTCAAAAATTCTGTCTTCTCAAACAACAGCACCTCTCTACCAAAACAGCATGCTGCCATCAATTTTATGCTCTCACTATCTAATTTGACTTTCCTTCATAGCACTTAAACTACTATCAGCCATCACATCATACATTACTTTGTTTATTTGATTATTATCTGTCTTCTCCATGGGGAAGGGCATAATTTGTCTATTTTATTTATTTATGTTCCTCTTGCACCTAAAATAATGTCCACTGTGAACAGGTTAATCTTGTTTACTTTTTTCCTTTAAATCTTAGCTACAGGGCCTCCTGGAGTTAAGTTTCAGTGTTATCACCACTATGGCCTAAGTTTGATTGCAAGCCAGAGAGCTAACCCACATATGTTGCAGCAAGACCTCTCCTGTAGCACACCTCTGGCCTTTACCCCAGTTCTACACACACACAAAAGAAAATCTTTAAAAATATATAAATCTTAGTCACAATGAGTGTATGATACTAAGAATAGCTTTTATTTTTATTAAGGTATAATTGACAGGACATTTTATTAGTTTCAGGTATATGAGATACTAATTTGATATTTTGTATATATTGCCAAATCATTACCACAGTAAATCTGGTTAACATCCATCACCACCACCTTACTTAAACATATTTTTTTTCTTGTGATAACTTTTAAGACCTCTATTAGCAAGTTTCAAACATACAATACAATGAATTGTAGTCTCCATGCTATACATTACTGCTCTGTCTTATTAGTTTTAAAATTAGACATGTATATCATTTTTATCCCCAAACATCTCTGGTCTTTGGTCACATTCAGAAGGCAGCATCCCAAATTTGCACCCCCTTCTTTCTGGTTTGCCTCCCTTTTAGTATCCTGTATCTTCCTCTCAGGATTATTAAAAAGATTCATTATAATTGATTGCATATATGAGTCATCTTTGTTATACAAGATCAGAAGGTCTAAATTTCTACTGCAGAGGTCTTAACTACTATTTAGCTAACATGGTACTGAATTTATTTTCTTGCTTGACTTTTTATAAAATTTTCTATTTTCAATCTCTTAAATCCAGTTTAAACTCCCTTTCACCAACTTTGAATTTCTTTGTCTTTTTGGCTTCCTTCCCAGATCTTTTTTCTGTCTAGAATCTTTAACATTGTTTCTAGAAAAGCAGAGTCTACACAAGAGTTCTTAACAGCACTTAATTCTCTCTAATGAAGACATCAACTTGAATCAATAACATACAAGAAGTGAAACATTACTCTTTTAATAGTAATATACAAGCTTCCAGAGTCTTAGTTTGAGCTATAGTTGTCCTTAAACTTTTCATAAAATTCCATTGAAAATTATATCTTGTTACAACATTTTGCTGTGGGTTCTTAAGACCCTGATTTGGAAATCGTTCTGCTTACTCTTCACAATATCTCCATAACTTACATTGTTACTCTACTTATCAGAATCCCCTAGATTTGTTATGATAGTGTCTAAGTCAGTGGATGTGGATTGGGCCTCAAGAATTTACATTTCTAACAAGACCCCAAATGATAGGCCACTGGTCAAAGACCAGCCTTTGAGAGTCATAGAAAAATCAATCTACAACTCATTAGCATATGGCACTGACTGATTTATGAAATGCATCAGCAGCAATCCTTAATGACTAGATATTTTGCTGCCACATAAATTCCCCCCCCCCGTGCCTTTGAGCATCGAAAGAAGTTCTAACAATAATATTTGAACCTTACTGTAATCTAACAAGTTCTGTAGGACAGATTAAAATTATCTTTGTATTTCAGGTACTGATTCTTAAAGTATAGAGGAAGCAGTTGTATTCTCACTAAATAACATTTCTCAGTGCATTTTTAGCTCCTCCATATATTTTGAGTCACCTCCCAAACCAGCTGACTTTAAGCTAGGAGTCAAGCTTTGTTTCCTCCATTAAACAAATTAACACATTCATAAACTGACCCCTTACATTCATTTCATTTTAAAATATCTTATTTTTCCTCTAAATTTCAGTATTAACTATTGACAGCCTTAGGCTTAGGTATGTATATGTGACTTCTGAGATGTATTAATACCAGCAAACTCAAGTAATATATATGAAATTTGCAATCTACTAAAATGCACAGAGAGCTCTATCTTGGGCCAGATTCAGCTGATGTTACTCCAGGACAGCAAGTCCAAGATTTTGCTGTAAGTCCACTTGAGAGTTCCCTCCAGAAACTAGCACCCAGAAAAAAAATAGAATACTTTTTGAGAGATCAAGATGAGCTTTAAAACTTGAAAAAAAGGCTTTCAAACAGCAGTATCAATTTACATAGTAGAAGTAGTAATTCATATTTTTCATAACTTGGCTAATCTTTATTTTGCATAAACTGAAGGCAGTTTTTTTTGTTAATTAGTGAATCAACCATAACTAATAAAATGCTGCCGTCATCTGTTTTCTCTATTTTGCTTTTACTGCCCTTTTCCATTAGAGTGGCAAAAGTTATGACCCTTGAGCAATGATTATTAACAAAGATTTTCATCTAAGCAATTTCTGTGTATTACTATATAGCCCTTATGAAAAACCTAGTGGATAGTGCCTACCAATTTTTTTTATAATAGAACAATTTCAGATCTAGATTAAGTAATATGTCTAAAGTCACAAGGTGCTAAACAGCAGCAAAATAGGGATTTGAACCAGCTCAACCTTTGATCATCTTTTTGTGAGCATCACAGCAGTGAAAAGGAGATAATAGGTAGAAGGAACGAAATGCTATGTAATTCTTTCTCACTTAAGATACATAGAAGGAAATATAGGCAAAACACTAAATGATATGCACATCAAAAACATCTTCACAGTCACATCACCCAAAGCAGTGATAGTGAAGGCAAAGATAAACAGCTGGGACTATATCAAATTAAAGAGCTTCTGCACAGCAAAAGAGACAATAACAAAAGCAAAGAGAAACCCCACTGATTGGGAGAACATTTTTGCACACAACACTAATGATAAAGGACTGATCACAAAAATCTACAAAGAGCTGATGAAACTCAACAAAAACAAAGAAAATAATCCAGTCAAAAAATGGGCAGAAGAGCTAAAAAGAAACTTCTCTGAAGAGGAAATGCAAATGGCCAACAAGCATATGAAAAAATGTTCAACATCACTTGTAATCAGGGAAATGCAAATCAAAACTACAATGAGATACCATCTTACACCAGTGAGAACGGCACATATTAAAAAAAACTAGCAACAACAAATGTTGGCAAGGATATAGAGAAAAAGGAACTCTTCTGCACTGTTGGTGGGAGTGCAAACTGGTCCAACCACTATGGAGAGCTGTGTGGAGATTTCTGGACCTACTAAAAATAGAGCTGCCATATGATCCAGCAATTCCACTCCTAGGTATTTACCCAAAGGACACAGAAACATCAATTCCAAAGAGCACCTGCACCCCTATGTTTATAGCAGCACTATTTACAATAGCTAAGCTTTGGAAACAACCCAAATGCCCAAAAATAGATGACTGGATCAAGAAGATGTGGTACATATATACCATGGAATATTACTCAGCATTCAAAAAAGATAAACACATGCAATTTGCAGCAACATGGATGGAGCTGGAAGGGATCATGCTCAGCGAAATAAGCCAGAAAGAAAAAGAAAAATACCGGATGGTCTCATTCATAGCAGGAATCTAGAAGACTTAAATAAGAGACCAGGAAAAAGAATAACTATAAGAAAGTGAAAATCAAAATCAACAAACAACTATGAACCAGAGACACTCTGGGGGGGGGGTGGGGTTGGTGAAAGGAGGGATTGGGGTCAAAATAAGGGGGTTGCAATTGTATGGGGAATATAAAAATAAAATTAAAATTTAAAAAAAGGGAAATAAAAATAAATAAATAAAGTACAAAAAAAAAAGAAGTACATTATCCTTGCTTGCACACAGTGAACATTCCCACTGACTATTTGCATTCTATAATTTTTAGAATTATAGTTCTAAAATGTTACTGGTACTATCGATGCCAAGATAGTAAACTAAATAAAAATACATGGGTAAATAAAAAAAAAAGACCCCACTGTTTCTGTGGGATCCAGGTTTGGTATATTGGTAGGTCTTTGATGCACAATAAATAAATCTGGACTGCTAAGATGCTGTATTAAGTCACATAGATTTAATACATTACTTTATTTAATAAATTACTTTATTTTCAGAGATCAACTTTTTTAAATGACAAATGTGAACAATATACCACTGTGACAGTGAAATTCTATGTCATAACTTGCTAAAATATTAGGGAACCCACACAAACTTTATGTATAAATACATTTATCTCCTTTGACTACTGAGAAACTTTGTTAACATATTAAATTCTCTAGTTGTTTTTATGCACTATATTTGCTAATCTTTGTTCTTTAGTGAAAGACACTGGAGTAGAAATACAAACATGTAATCATTCACATTTCTTTTTGTCTGGACTTCCCAAACTTTATATTTTAATTCTGCATATAAAGAAACCAGGAAACCACATTAATAGCTTCAGTTTAGCTACAAAGAGAGGGGCCTCCCTGGTGGCACAGGGGTTAAGTCTCAGGGTTATCTCTGCAATGCTTGATCCTCAGTCAAGGAGCTAACCCACATATGGCACAACAGACCTCTCCTGACTTACCTGCTGGTAACCCTCAGCAGTGTATTTCAGTAGATTCACCTGTTCTGCCCCCCAACTCTGTCTCTGGCGAATCTTCTCACACACACACTTTTGGCTTCCACTCCAGTTCTTATATGCATAAATAAATAAAAATAAAAATAAATCTTCAAATAAAGATAGACCTTAAGGCTTTATAAAATATTCCTGATTATTCCTGTTACATGAGTTTCAGATAATTTTTCCCCTTTTTGAGGTAAACCCACATCGAGGGTGGGCTAGTTCATTTATAGACTTTGAAAGCTCATCTAGTTGATTTTATAATTAGACCCTTCCAGGTAGCTGGAAATTTTATTTTGCCTTCCCAATTAACAGCTGTGCTCCCAGCTGGAATTGTTTGTTATAAATGAAAACGGCTCCTTAAATTTACATTCACTGCATGACCAAGCTTGGCATCAGATGCAGCTTCTGGACACTGGCAAAGAGAAGCCCAAAAGGGTGTCAGATCTAAACTAGCATTGTCAGCTATAAATTGTATATTTCTATTAAAGACAAATGATGTGACCAATGGATCTTTGAAAGTGAACTGCTTCAGTCTTTGAATATTTCTTTGATGTGATTGAGATGGGTGTAAGTGACATGCAGTTGGGGTATGATGAACTATGAAGTATGTAAGGATAGAAACTGTGGCAATATAGAATATGTGTTGACCTGAATGGTGATCTTTTCTGTTTCGGGTTAGGGGTTTGTGGAAGAAGTAAATCAATTCTTCAATTAGTAACTATCAAAAATCACAAGATTAAATGATGTCCTCCTATCTTACCCTTGGAGTTGTTTTGTCTCACCATCCATCCTCTTTGCCTTCCTTATTGAAATCCATGAACGTGTAGACTTTCTATTGGCCAAGTCACATTTGCAATTAATATCTATGGAAGAGGGTCTAGAGAGGGAAGCTACAAAAATATAAACATAAACATAAACTTTGGTTTCCCAAAAATTATTTAAATTATTTAAATTTAAATTTAAAATTATTTAAAATTATTTAAATTATTAAAGCTTTATCTGTGAAAAATCAATTGTACACAATTTAAGGAGACTTTTCCTCATCTTTTTGGAAAAGAGTTTATTAACATGGTGTACATGAACCTCCAGGTCATCCTTTTAAAAAAAAATGTTTATTATTGAGATAACATCGGATCATACCCTTCAGATATATGTTGCCACATCACTCCCATCACCAGAGCACAAATTGTCTTCCACCATATTCTACTGGACTGTCTCCCCTGCTGTTCATTCTTAAACCTAGTAACATTGTAATGAAAAATGCAGAGATGTATTTTAAAAAATGTGTATATATGTGCTGTAAATGTCTATGAGGAGAAAGTCTTTTCAGTTTTTGTTTTTAGAGCCTTAAAACAATGCATAAAATGATTGAGAACCATTTTGGTAAGATTTTATTTCAGGCGTTCAACCTGAAATATTTGTCATTTCACCTCTACCTAGCAATTTGTCACAAAGTACCTAAAAGAAAAACACCCTCCCAATCATCTGCTCTTTTTCTATATCATCAATTCACCACTTGTTGTACTGTTTTTCACTATCTGGTAAAATTTTGAGTTCTGAAAATACTTAATTGAAATACCACGGATATTCAAGTATTCTTTCAATGAATTAAGTGGGTGGTGGTTTTGAGTAGGAATTCTTGGGTTAATAAGTAATAATATAGTTTATCATTTTTTTCTCTTTTGTTATCAAAGATATTGTACCAATGGATGGTTAAGTTTAGCAACACCTGAAGATTTTCAGGAAAAAACTAGGGTTTAAGTAAAATAGTAACTAAACATCAAAAAAGAAATTTTAGGTCATGTGACTATGCATCTATGCATTTATCTTACTACATTGAGATCAGGTCCTTAGAGACATGAACTCATTTTTCTTGGCTTAATCTAGGCAAATAAAATTAGTACTTTTAGTTCAACTTTCCATTCCATTTGCATTAATTGAAATTCTAGCACAAGGCCCCATTTAAAACTTAACACCTGCATAATCTAGTTAATACCCTCGAAATAACATTATTGATTTATGGCACATCACCAAAATTCATTCACATATTAGAATATAACACCCTTTACATCTGTTGCCAAAATTGATTCTGCTCATACACAGGAAATAAGAGAAAAAAGTAAATTATTCAATCAAATCTTTTTTCCCGAGCATTTTAAGTATTAGTGAAAAAATTCCACTTATGGTAAAGCTAATTGTTGCTGCATTTACTCTTACTTGCATTAGTTACATTTTTGATCTTTTGTCCTGTGCTAGATAAATATTTTACATGCAGTTTTTCATTTAATATTTATACACATACAACAGTTTGGAGGTAGTGCTATTTTTATTTCACAGGTGAGAAAATTGAGATTGAGAGAGAACAAATCACTAGCCCAAGAGTACACAGACGGTGAATTGTGAGGCCAGTTGAATGACAGACAAGGAGCTGACGTGGCGGGATGTCTCAGTAATAGTGGTGAGACTTAACAGGTAGGCCACCAGGGAGGCCCAACTTCGGTTGATTCTAATTAATTGGGCTACTATTAATTGTCATATGCTGATCTGGATAATCACCCAAATTAACTTCTAAACCAAATTTTCTCAAGTTAGAAAGCTTGAACTATCTGCATCTGAAATAACTGAGATATGAAAAATGCCTATCTGTGGTCCCACATATACTAAATTATTTTCTCTGTGAATGGTCCTGCATTCTTTGGTGAGAAACTTGTAGCAGAGCAAGCAACAGCAATGTATAGAGAGAGTGAAAAAAGCAGTCAAATGACAGACAAAATACTTTCTTTTTAAAAATGTATTGATTCAGAGGTACAGATTCACACCTTTTTAGGTGCATATTACCATACCACACCCACCACCAAGGCACCCACAGTCCTCCACGATAGTCCATTGGGCCCCCTCCACACTCTGTTATCTACCTTTCCCCTCTGGTAACCTCAATCTACTGTCAGATTTCTAGGGTTTATTACTGTCAGGGATAAAAAAGACTCTTACACACTCCCTCAGAGGAGTACCGCTGCATCTCTACCATCCCACAGTCCAGCTGTGCCTATTGCTTTGTTTCAAGACCCAACTAAGGACTGGCAGGTCTGAGAGGCCTGGGAATTCTTTCAATTACAGTTTTCCTCAGACTCCAAAAAAGAGATGAAGGGGTAGTTCCAATTTGTCCTGGAATTTGGAGGCGTAATGGGAACAAGGTATGCATGATAGAAAGGGTCCCTTTCCCACTCAGTAGGGAAAAATCCTTAAAAATCAGACTGCTTCACTGCTCAGAGCAACTGTCCTGCTTTCTTCCAGCGATCTTTCCTACTGATTTCTAATAAACTTTGTCGCTGGCTTCAATCTGGTGCTATATGAGGTATTTTTCTCCAGAAACACCAAGGTCCCTGGGGTGTCATGGCTCTCAACATTGTTGGTTTGGTTCTATCTGACCCTTTGTTTTGTTTCTCTATATTTTACATATAAGTGAAAACCATCTGGTATTTGTCTTTCCCTTTCTAACTTCTTTCACTTAGCATTATTGTCTCCAGTTCCATCTATGTTATTGCAAATGGTGATTCATCTTTTGTTATAGCTGAGTAATATTACACTGTGTCTATACACACCACATCTTCCTAAAGCACTGATTTGACCTTGGGCACTAAGGTTCCTGTAATCTGGCTATCATCTTTATAAATACTGCTGAAATTAACTTCAATTGGAGCCCAAAATTTATCACTTACTTATATGTATAAGCCACTTAGTTTCTCACTGGGCCTCGGTTGCTACATCTCTAAAATTGGGGGTAGCAACAAAAATAACATCAATGGTAATATTAAGGCTTAAATAAAATCATACATGTAGAAATGCTTTATAAGTACAATTTTTCATTAGTGATTTTTTTTTAGATGGTAAGTGATGAATGAACTAAAGCTTTAATCACACATTAGAAAGACTTTATCTTCAAAGTTTACATTACACAGAGGCAAGAAGCAGTGTAGTATAGAATAGGTTACAGACTCACTTCCCCCAAGTACATTTCTCCCTCAACTACTACAGATGTTAAAATCGTATCATTATAGAGAAATTTTGTTCTCTTTAGAATGCAAATGGTACTTGTGAGAAGGAATGCTTTAAATCTAGGTTATCGATAATAATTTATGTCTGGAGATGCCAGAGCCAAGAAAGAATACCTTAGAGGATGAAAGGGAACTTAAAGGTGACATATAAAAAAGACAAACTTTGAATACTTCAAATTTAGTCTCTTTGTTCATTCAGTGATTAAAAAAGCAAGCAACACACACACACACACACACACACACACACACACACACAAAACACCTTGTGGGTGAAACTGGAGGTAATGAGTGAAAAGCATTAGAGAAAATGCATAAATCAGCTTTGTAGTTAAACCAGAGCAAGAAGAAAAAGGTAATATTACAGACCATTCCAAGATGTGCAAACAATCTTGCATAATTTTGGATGTCATGTTATAGGTAATCATGGGGATAAAATGACAGGGGAGAAAAGCTACTTTGCTACTCTTAGGCACTTCATTCATTTACCAGCTGATTGCTGACAATGACACTATGGAACTTACAATGGTGAGAATCTGTCTATAAAATACTTGGCATTTGTTTCAGTCCCTTTCTCTCCCATGATTATAATGTTCTTACCTGTAGTTATCTCCTGCCACCTATGACCTTCTGCCTCACAGAGAGGCTTTGGGCAACATTATTAAAGTGAAACAGCATTCTGTTTTGTTAAAACACTTTATTCAAGCCTCTAAAAAAGCACTCACTTATCAAAATGCATTTCATTATTTCCCCCTCATATTCAAAGTTCTCTGTCTCTAGAATGTGAGTACCTAGAAGTCTGCAGACATTTCTTCATTTCCACATTCCCAGCACTTAACAGAGAGGTCAGCACATGGTAGGTTTTCAAAAACTCATTGCTGAGTAAATTAATATTGTGATTATTACCACTTCTGGTTTGTCGATTTCTATAACTACTGAAATTTTTATATTCACAAGTCACCACACTCATTTTTCTTTCCAGCTTATCAGCAATTTATAACTTTTTATTATTTATAGGCTAATTAATCCTGTTCACTCTAGGTTATAGTTATGACTGCAACACAATGTAGCTGCTTGTGAGTAAGTTTCTTATTCTGGCTAGAAATTTTTTCCGCTCTCATCCCATTATTGAGATTATATTCCTTTATTTGAATATCAATAAGTTCCAATTTATTTGTTTTATAAGAATGATGTTAGAGATTTCTCCTCAGCTACTCTTTTTATGGTCTTTTACTGAAAGTGTTCAATCTCTAATAAAATTATTTTCTAGAATGCCAATTAAATATTCCTTCTCCAAAAAAAAAAGTTGCCTTGAACAAATAAATGCCACTGTATCCTCACATATTACAGAGTTCATCATGACAAAATGATGTTCTTATAGTCTTCAAAAATGACATGATGGTATTAGAAGGATATTTGCCATGTTTTGAAAGTTTAATATATAAACTGCATCATATAAAAGTAGTAGTAAATGGATGTTTACTAATTCTGAAGGAATTTTGTAAAGTTAATTATTTCCAATATGAGTCATTTATTCATTGAAAATACATTTATCATGCACTGAGTAATATAATAGAATTACACAATTTCTTTTGAGTAGATAGAGGAGTTTTAAAAATTCCTATTCAAAGGGATTTCTCTTAATATTAGAGATTTAAATGTAACCAGTTAAGTGATATCATTGATGTTTGAATATGGTGTACTGTTGGATATTACTTAATTGAGAGAATTTCTCTGAGTAGGGGTATCTAGTTTCACTTTAAAACTGGAGTTTTGTATCCGCTGCTTTCCTCATTTCACCTTACAAGCACTTCTTCCGTTTACTATACATCTAGGAGAAGCCACACTTTCCATCCTTATATAAAACCTTAAAACTTACATATTTTCAGATTCACAAAGATAACTAGACCTTAGACTTTTCAAAGTCACTATCATAGGAAGTTATTTATCTTCCATCTGGTTTCAGAGAAAATCTCCTTTATTATATCTACACAGATACATGTTAGAAGATTTCTTCTGAACACCACTAATTTCCTTTTGCAATTTACCAATTTTATGAGATATTGCAAAGAGCAGGGAGATGGAGAGGTTCTCTATGCAGGACAGTCTTGGAGCAAAATCTTAGGACAGAATTTGGCATCTGCCAAAGTAGCCAGTGGGTCATAAGTTGGTAGCTCTTGAGT